AAATAAATAAATAAATAAATAAATAAAATCTTAAATAAAATAAAAAGTTCTCCAGAGAACAGGAGAGAAGGGGATACATTTGAGAAACTGGACTTATCCAGGGATAGATATGACCTTCAATTTAAACAGAAGAAGACTAACAAATGAGGAAGGATACAGGAATGTTTGTAGGGTCATGGCCGTGAGCTGCAGTTTTGCTTCAGATGGTCTAATTCATCTTTGTGGTTGGTGGGGAGCCCATTTTGAAAGTGAAGGAATGGGTGAGAATTTCTGAGATTCAAAAGACAAGGGGAATGTCTAAAATGTTATAAAGCAGGAAGAATAATTTAATCATCAAGGCCTAGAAGGATGCCATATATTTATAGAATGCATTGGGGCTATGACAGATGCAGCTCCAAGAGGGGGAGATATTCCTGTCATCTGGGTTTGGGGCTGGACCAGCATGGGTACTGAAAGGTCAGGAGGGCTGAGGATTGTCCTGGTGGGGGAGACTGATCTTAGGAACTGAGGAGAGAGGTAGGGCTGGTTTAGGAAGTTGGGTCAGTACCCTGGAGAGTACTCTGTGGTAGGAGAAGTTGGGCACCTGGTGTCAGCGTGTGAACAGTGAAGGGTGAGATAAGACAGAAGGTCCCTGAGCTCTGACCTACAGAGGCAACATATCCAGGGAAAACCTAGGTCTGGGATCCACCCCTTGGGACCAGCATGTTTGGGAATTGGAGATGAAGAGACAGGCAGAGCTAAGCTTACATGCCAGCTCTGTCATTTTTCTAGACATATGACTTCATCATTTCAGTAAAGCTTTCTGAACCTAGCTCTTGTCCTTGTTAAAAGGACAACCAATCCAAAAGGATAACCAATCCATAGCAGGCTTATAATGAGGATTAAATGAGCAAATACATGTAAATCCCAATCAGAGGGCCTCAGCAGTATCAGAAATGGTTTCTCCTCTTGGCATTTCCCAGGTCAAAGGGTTACCATCTACGCCTGTTCCTGACACTCTAACAATATTTGTCCACGCAGTCCAGTTAATGATTAACATTAATTTAGGTAGTACTTTGCAATCTACAAATGCTTTCATATGCTAGAACAGAACTCCATCTACCACTTCACTAAGATATCTGAAAGAGTGAACTCAATTTCCTCCCAAACTGAACTTCACTCTATTTGCAGAGCCTGTCTGCCCCATGGGGATTGTGGTACCCAGCAGTAGACTCATGATGTTTGTCCTCCAGCTTCTTACCTGTGCAAAGGGTTTTTAGTGCCTGATTTGCGTGATGAGAGTCACCAAACCTCCAGCAAGACATGAGTTCTTGGATTGTTCCTCCCACCATTAAATAGATCTAAAGTAGCCTGGCCATGTGTCCAAGGCTATGGAGGGCAGAACTGGGGTCGCTGTCCTGCTGCTGCCTGAAATCCACATGTGGATGAGCCAAGATGACTGAAGGCAGGTGCATTCAGAGGGTGGGGCAGGGCGCAAAGCAGGGAGGGGGTGGCTCCAAAGGACTAGGGTGGGTGTTAGAGAAGCAATGCATACCTAACCAGGAATTATTAACTCAGAAACTCCAGAGTGGGGTCCTTACCTTGGAGACAAGGATCCCCATGTGACAAGTATGAGGGTTTCCTAGGATTTGGTGTTAATCTTAGGAATTAAATGGTAATAATAATTCAGAACAGGTCTAATTAAAGTATAAAACCCTATATATATTAATTTCCTATGGCTGCCTGTAACAAAATGCAGCAGACTGGATGGCTTAACAAATATTTATTTCTCACAGTTCCGGGGGTCACAAGTCCAAGATCAAGGTGTCAGCAGGTTTGGTTTCTCCAGAGACCTTTCTCCTCAGCTCGCAGAGATGCCTTCTCGCTGTGTCCTCTCATGGTCTTTCCTCTGTGTGCCCACACTCCTGGTGCCTCTTCCTCTTCCTATAAGGACACCAGTCCTATTGGATCAGGGCCCCACTCTTATGACCCCATTTAACTTAAATTACCTCCTTAAAGGCCCCATCTCCAAATATAGTCGTGCACAGGGCTCAGGCTTCAACATATGAAGTCCTGGAGGACATACTTTAGTTCATACAGTCTATGATTTTCATTTTGTTATCTGCACAATGGGGATATGAATGTCTTCCTTATGTGAAGAGTAGCCAATCCTTTCTTCCTTTTGACCCTGGGGAGAGGAGAGGGCTCCCTGTCTGTCTGTCTGTCTGTCTCAGATCCTTCTGCACATAACCTGTGGGTTGGACTAGAAGGGGGTCATTCCAGGTGAACGTTTGTGGATTCAGGACTAGCAATACTATCTATCTGTGTGGTCCTTTATGTTTTAAAAGACTGGATTCTCCCATGGCTTCTTCCTCTTTTCTCAGCTTTATCTGCTCAGTTTCCAGATGTCCCTGCATGAGAATACAGAGGAGAAGTGGTGGCTGAGTTCCTGACAATGAAATAATGAATAAGGACTTGCTCTTACTCCTGAGTTGATATACCTTTGGCCAAATGGTCAGGTTTCTCCTTTAAGCCTGAATATTCTAAGCTCACCCAGGAAATGTCAATAATACCAGTTATGTTCACTGCCGCATTAGCCGTATGGCAGGTCAGGGGCTGATGTGGAAATAATCTCTTTCCAAACATTTATGCTCAGTTGTTCCAGCTTCCATTAAGGTTATGGCTTCACAGAACAAATAGTAGAGATTTTCTTCTTTCTTCCTTTTTTTTTTCATCCAGCCCTTGGGTTCAGTGGAGAAATAATTCACCATGTCAGTGACTGCAGTGGCCTTAGGCATGTGGGGAACACAGGAGATAAAGATGAATGAGAGAAGAAGTTTCTAGACCAGTGGGAAGGCAGATGCTTCATCAGGTGAGTCACGGGTGCTGCGGGGAGTCTGTGCAGCCTGGAGGTGGAAGAAAGAAAGGGTGGGCCAGAAAGAACCATGAGGGATTGTTTATTTACTTCCTCCAATTTTAAACATATTAAAGTTTTTATACACTTTACTTGAACATTTTGATAACTTTGAAAAAGATAAATAAAATTCCCTTACCAAACTTGTTCACGACTGTTTCCCTCTGTTATTAAACTTTGATCAGATTTGAAAATTGAATACAATGTATGCAGATTATTGTTGTTTTATTTTTGACTGTGTATTGAGGAGAAAGAGTAGAGTGGACAGAATAAAATGTATGGTGCTGGTCAGGAAATGACAGACTAGGAAGCTCCAAGCCCTCACCCCCTCCAGAGTAACATCAGTAAAACAACCAGAATCTGTCTGAACCAGCTGGGGCTTCAGCCCAGGGACCCAAGAAGTTGGCAGCCACTGCCTCTTGAAACATTTTCTGCTCCCACTGTTGCTGCCCCCAGCAAGAGTACCAAAGCCCCCTAGGATGTGTCTATGTTTGTGTGGCTGTCTGTTTTTCCTCCTTCTGCATAGCACTTCCAACCAGCCAAAAGCTCCTCTCTGTGTCTTGGGGCTGTTTCATGAGAGCAATAGTGATGAGCAGGCCACTCATCCCTGAGGCCTCAGTTGGTCTCATGTGCAAGACACATGAAGATTGTGTCCAGGTACAAAAGGATTGTTGTCCCCACCAAGTGAAGGGAATGTCCTTCCCTTGGGAAAGCAGCCCAATTCTTGCAAAGAGGGCTATGATGCAGTAGGTCTGGGCCGCCAGCCTCTGGTTTGGACAGTTGGGGCAGTGAGTGAATGACTAAGGGTGCCAGGTATGTGGGGTGATGCCAAGGAGACAGGGAGTCCAGGCCTGTGGATTCAGGATCCGCCCACCCAGTTTGGCCCTGGATCTGAGTGGAAAGGAAAGGAAGAAGGGCTGGGATGGCACTGCCTGCCTGAGACTGTGGTGGGCAGGGGTGGAGAAGCAGGCTGGGTGGTTCACCTGTGTTTCTGGGGACACTCTTGTTCTGACTCCTGACACCAGATCTTCTCCTTTTATTCCTGTATCTCTCAATGCTCCTCCACAGCACTATTTGCTGCAGGCATAGGCCCTGGGTTTTTAAGTTTGAAGTGCATGATAGATCAACACTGGGCCCTATTCTTTTATAACTATGCTTTAAAAAATAATAATAACCTCTGTGTGATCTAGTCTACTCCTAAGGCAATGATTATTAACTCTGTGCTTACAAAACCCCTAGATTTCTCATTCCATCCAGAATTAGATATACAACAACTTCTTACATTTTCTGAGTTGGAGACCTTACAGATATGACATATTAAAAAAGTCCAACCAGGGGCACCTGGGTGGTTCATTCAGCATCTGCCTTCAGCTCAGGTCATGATTCCAGGGTCCTGGGATGGAGCCCCAATGTCTTGGGCTCCCTGCTCAGCAGGGAGCCTGCTTCCCCCCTCTTCTCCCCACTTGTACTCTCTCTCTCTGTCACTATCTGTATCTCCTTCTCTCAAATAAATAAAATCTATATAAATAAATAAGTAAATAAATAATAAAAAGAGTCCAACCTGTGAAAATAAAGGAAAACTTCACTAAAATGGAGTGGGACGGCCAGAGGGGGAGCTCTCACACCCTACCACTTGTGGCAAATTGGAGGTCCCAGTAGGACTAGACTTCCCTCATATTCCCCAAAGGAAGAGGCCTACTCTACTAACCCGGCAGGCAACAGCCCAGCCAACGAAAGACCATCCCAACTCAGCCAGTGAGGAGCCACTGTACTTCAGACTCCCAGTTTACTCCCAGTTTACTCCAGCCCTTCCCAACTCTTGTTTCCTCTATAAAATACCATTCCTGGGCGCCTGGGTGGCTCAGCTGGTTAAGCGACTGCCTTCGGCTCAGGTCATGATCCCGGAGTCCTGGGATCGAGTCCCGCGTCGGGCTCTCTGCTCAGCAGGGGGCCTGCTTCTGCCTCTCCCTCTGCTGCTCCCCCTGCTTGTGTGCTCTCTCTCTGTCAAATAAATAAATAAAATATATTAAAAAATAAATACATAAATAAAATAAAATAAAATACCATTCCTGTCCTTCATTCTCCAGACTTGCCCATGGTTTTACTGTAGCTTGGGTGCCCCGAATTGCAATTCTCTGCTATTCCCAAATAAATCCACTTTGCTGGTAAAATAACCGACAGTTTTATTTTGAAGGTTAACAAACCCTTCTTCCTTGCCTTGGTAGTCCCCCAGACATCGCATCTGAATAGATTCTACCACTGTTAACTTAGCGATCCTGATCCAACCTCAACAAGCATTTATACGTCCTGTCTCTCCCCATGTCATAGACAATCCATTGCCCTCTCCTGTCCACTCTTCCTCTGATATGTGTCTGCAAACACTTCTCTCCATTTCCACAACTACCCCTGTGCCCACCCCTTCACCCAACTGTTTAACATTTCACTCCTTGAAGTACCGCTGTGGTCGTTTCTAGTTTGAGGGCTGTGATGAACAGAGCTGCTAAGAGCATTCATGTCCAGGGGTCTGGGGGGCTCAGATGGTTAAGCATCTGCCTTTGGCTCAGGTCATGATCTCAGGGTCCTGGGATGGAGCCCCACATCGGGCTCCCCACTCAGCAGGGAGTCTGCTTCTCCCTCTCCCTCTGCTCTTCCCCACTGCTCATGCACTCTCTCTCTCTCTAGCTTTCCTACATCACTTGGGCCGTCTTCAGCCTGCCTGGTCTAGTTGTATCAAGAATCCTGTTAAGTCACTTTAGAGAGAAGCCCCTCCCCTTGATATCTGATTGATCTTGAAACTGATCAAATTCATTGTCCCCTACTCAAGAGGACCCATGAGGCTGGGCCGCAGCAGCCAAAGGGAGAGTGTATTGGGGTACGTGTTACAGAGGCTCCTGAGGGCTTGTCCTAAGAGCAGTAGGGGGATCTGAAGGTTTAGGGGCACAGACATGATCAGATTTGCCTTTCACAAGTTACTCAGTAGCCACCACGGTGGGATTTGAGATGACAGGGCTTCAACTGGGGAAGGGTGGAGGGAGGGCAACACAGGGAGGTGGGGGGGGCGGTTCTAGAGCCATCTGGGGTTGTACTGAAGTCCCCACATGGTCCTCACAGTTTTCTCCAGGGTGTTTCCTCAGTCCGGGCAGGGTTGGCTCTCCCTTCCCCACATGTTCTTGTGATCCCTCTGGGCCTGGAACCAGGAGTGAATTGAATGAATGAATGACAAGCACAGGGGAGAGCACCCTGGCACCCTGCACCAGACTCTTGGCTGGTGACAGGAGCCGGAGCTGCCATGTGGGAGCTGAGCCGCTGTGAGTGGCTGCAGGAATGGGCTGGGTCCAGGCCTGGGCACTGTCACCTCCCTGGAGATCATAGGCAGTGGGTGATCACAGCATCTGGGTGAGGGTGCCCACCTGAGTCCTGGAGGAGACCTAGATGGTGGGAGGTGCTGGGGTTTCAGTCTGGGCCCACCTCTCAGTTCCCCATCTGTGAAGGGCATCTGCGTGAAGCCTGGGTCTGAGATAGAGATTCATGCTCTGGCCAGGCGGGTGACCACAAGGCCCCTCTGCCCAGGCAAGCTCGGTGTACCTGGTTGCTCCAAGTCCTGGGAAGTCTGGGTGGGCAAAGTCAGGCAGGTCTGGGTGTGGAAGCTGCTCCACAGCCTTGCTCTGCTGCTGGAGCAGGAAGGCCTCCTCTGGCAACCCTGGTCTGACCTGCGTTAGCAGCACTCCTCTCTAGTGTGGACATAGGTGGTGGGTCACTCTGGGCTGTGGGCTTCTGGGCCTCCTCTGGGTTACCAGTGAGGGCCTGATCTGGAGGGAGGGGGTTCTGACTCCCTAGACCCCTAGGGCTGACAGTGTTGGCACCCTGGGAGGTACGTCTGTAGGAACAGGGGGCTGGCATGTAGATGGGACATGGAGTGGGGATACATGTCCCGTGTGTGTGTGGACTCAGTGGGGCCACATAACACATGCTGGGTAATGTCTACCATGAACCTTCGCTCTACAGCCACCGTCTGTTTGCTCCACTTGGCCTCCCAAGCCGGAGAAGCTGGCTAATAACACTTCGGTGACTGGAACACACCGGACTGGCTCTTCAACGTCAAGTGGGTACGGCTGATTGTTTTGTGTTTGGGGGAGCTGCAGTCCCTGTCTCGGACTGCACAACTGGACGGGCACAGCTGAGTCTGTGCTGTGAAGGGGTGTGTGTTTATGTGTGGGGCTAAAGGCTTCACTGTGCGGTTTTTATAGCCATTGGTCCTTGAGTGTTGTGTGGGCCTCTGTATCTGTGACTTTTTTTTACGTGAGGGTCTTGCTGTGTGTATAGAGACATGGTTCTGCTCTGGTGTCCTGGTGCCCTGCACACATCCACATAGGCCACGCAGACAAAGGCATGAACCACAGCTGATATGTCTTGGCAGAACATCTGTGATCCCTCTAGAACACTGGGGAAGGCCTGTGGAGGCCTCTTTCAAGGCCACTTTTCACTCACCCCCTGATTCCCCTAGGGGCTCTTCTGAGGTGGGTACTCCCTGCCCAGTCCCTCAGAACAGAGTTGCAGCTGATAAAACCCTCCGCTGCCATGGGGAATGGGCTTCTCAGTGATGGGGTGTCCCACAACCCATGCTGCACTTCTGGCCCTTTTGTTTCCTTGTCATCCTTTTTGGTGTGTGGGGCAAGGACAAACATGTGATTGGTTTGTCAGTGTGTGCTGTAGATTTTCATGAAGTGAGTATGTGGAGAGTCAGCTCATGTTATTATAGAGGCTGAAAAGTGTGCCATCTGCAAGACTGAGACCCAGAAAAGCTGATGGTGTAATTCGGTGTGAGTCTGCAGGTCTGAGAATAGGGGAGCCGATGGTATAAATCCCAGTGTGAGGGCAGGAGATGTAATGAGTTGTTCTAGCTCAAACAGCAAGTCAAGGAAAAAAGGGTTGAATTCCTCCTTCCTCCTCTTTTTTGTTCTTTCTACTCAGGCCCTCAGTGGGTTGGATGAGGCCCACACACATGGTGGGGGCTGGCAATATGTTTTGGAATCTATTGATTCAATGGAAATGCTGCTCTGACCTGGAAATGCCCTCAGACATATCGAGAAATATTGTTTAATCTGGACTCCCCATGGCCAGTCACGTTGACACATAAAATTACCCATGACAAGTCTACCCCTTGTCAACTTGGCATCCATACACATCTCTTCAAGCCATAAGTAATTACTTATGACCAAATAAAGGGGTCATGATTCTGCCTAACACGATACAACCTTTGTACGGTGGAAAAGGCACTAACTCCTTCCCTAGAAGAGGAGGTAGGTCCTTGAGTGATGTTTTCTTTTCTCCTTGATATCATGTAACTTAAACACTATGATGTGGAATTGGCATACTTAAATCCTGTGATAAAAATTGGTACATTTTATGTTACATGATAAGTGCATAAGAGCGGGAAAAAAAAGATATACACAAACATATTCATAGTAAAATAAGGAGGAAATACTCATGATGATTGTGGTCCTCGTTTCTGTTTCTGTAACTGATCCTGTGGCCATAGCTGACGTTTACATTTACCTTCTTTCACTGCCCCTTCTGTATTCCCTTTGCCTTTAGTGAGCGCTTCAGCTGGTTTTATTCTTTACCTGGTGAGTAGACCCAACCCTTCATTCCTGCCTGTTACTTGGGTCATCGTAGTTTTACATTAACCTTGATCACAGGGCATGGTAAAACTGAAGAGAGGCCCTAAGGGATCTCCTGTATTCCAGACTATTGTACCTTACTTCTATTGTGGAGTAGTAGTCCAATTTTCCCTTGGTAGTCAGGATCAGTCACCCCAGGCAACACCACAATTCCCTACCTTTGCTTATTGATTCAGAGGCACGAAGAGACGAAAGTGGCCGAGTGGCAGTCTTAACCTCCAGGTCAATGGAATCATTGTGTCTCCTTGTAGGAGCCTTTCTCCCTCTTGTGTTTTAAGACCTCCAGGCTGGTAGAACATGAGGTTGTGGGACTAGGAATCAGAAATTTTGCTAGTGGGTGACTTAGGGTAATGGGAGTGGTGCCATTCCTATTTACATCCCTTGCTTCCTGGACCTATGACTTCTGGCTATTGGAAAAACAGCACCATATATGTTGGTCGCTGATTCAAAGAGTATACAATCCTCTGGAGAACCTTGCCTCATCCCCACAAGATACTGCCACCTAGCTGGCACTGAGATCAAGAAGACCTCCCAAATGAGAACAAGCACCATTTACTGAGAGCTTGCTCTGTGTGGCGCAGGGGTCAGCCACCAGCACTTGTAGAAACTCTGAGGTAGGCAGAAGAATGGGAAAGCTTTCTGGTGGGGAAACGAAGGCATTTCTTGATGGGAGGGTCAGGCTGACTAAAAGAGAGGCATGATTTGTGGGGGAGGGGGGCAAATTTGGCTTTCTCCCATTTGCTGTGTTGGAGGACAGGGCAATATTGAGGGAAACTGTCAGCTATTGATCAAGTCCTGACTCTTGGGGGCAGTTGTTGCAGAAAGTGTGGTCTGACCTTCTAAGCTGGGTGCTGTGGCTTGTAGGCCAGGGGCCTTGCTAGTTGGAGCAACCAGGCTCCTGGGCTCCTGAGTGGATTTAGAAAATTCTGTGGACCAAATAGAACATTAGTCGGCCATAAAAAAGAATGAAATTTTGCCTTTGTTGTAGCAAGGTCCCTGGATGGACCTTCAGGGTATTATGCTAAGTGAAATAAGTCAGGCAGAAACAGATAAATACTGTATGATCTCACTATATGTGGAATCTAGAAATACAAAACAAAACAAAAACAAGCTCATGGATATAGAGAACAGATTGGTGGTTGCCTGAGGAGGGAATGGAGGCCCCAGGGGGGCCAGATGGGTGAAGGGAGTCAAAAGGTACAAGTTTCCAGTTATAAAAATGAATGTCATGGTGATGCACTGTACACCACGGTGACTATAGTTAATAATACCATATTTATAAATTTTTGAGGAACCTCCACACTGTTTTCCAAAGTGGCTGTACCAACTTGCATTCCCACCAGCAGTGTAAGAGGGTTCCCCTTTCTCCACAACCTCTCCAACATTTGTTGTTTCTTTCCCTGTCCATTTTGGCCACTCTAACTGGTGTAAGGTGGTATCTCAGTGTGGTTTTGATTTGGATTT